GTATTTAAAGTTTGTATAAGGCATAAGGTTTTAACAGACTTGTAGATCTCTTTGTTTTTCCAGGTTAGTATTTTAAGTATTTTGAATCATTTGCCAGTATGTATTTCTGTATGTCTGTATTTAGCCTCTATGTATGTATGTATGTATGTATGTATGTATGTATGTACATATTAGAAGTGGGGATTGAACCCAGGCCTTTGCTCTGAGCTACAGCCCCAGCCCACTTTTGGGGAGACAGAGTTTCCCTAAGTCACTAAATTGCCCCTGCCAGGGTTGAACTTGGAATCCTTATGCCTCAGCCTCCCAGAGTGCTGGCATTGTAAGGATTTGCCATTTTTTTTCTGGTGTCAATATTTAAACTAAGGAGAATGCATAGAAAATCTGGACTTTTTTCTGTTCCTGAATAATAATCTAGCTTGGCAGAGTGCCACGGGCCAAAGGCTGAAGGGTTCCTGGAGTGAGAAATGATGATGAGAGATTAAGAAAGACAGAGATATAATAAGATACAGATGGGACCAGGTGGGGCTCTAACTCCTGATGGGAGGAAAAGGCCACCAAACAAATGGCCGCACATTTATTTATAGTGGTAGAGGTAAGGGAAGCGCAGGGGGAGGTAAAAGGGGCTGGTCTATAATGGGAGTTAAGGTCTGCAGGACATCATGTTTGATGTTTCTCTGGCAAATGGGTGGAAAGGAAGATAGTTACTCCACCACGCCCTCTTGTCACCTGTTCTCCTCTGTCAGAGGAGGCAAGTTAGGCCTGGCCATAGTTATCTACAGCACAGTGCTCCCAGAAGCAGAGTATACTTGGTAACAGTGAAGTGCAGCTGTGGATAGAGGATGTAGCTTTTACGGAATGTACTCTTCACCTTACCAGAGTTTTCTATTTTTCTGTGTTGATTTCCATTTTCTGTGGTCAGTCTCATTGGTCATTCTTTCATCTTCTGGTTTGTACTTGTAAGTTTTTTATGTGGGACCAAGTGGTCATGTTTATAATACATGCCCAGCTCTCATAGGTAGTTCAGTATGTGTCTCTTGGAATAAGAACTGTCCATGAGACTGGGATTATTTTGGCATTATTCTATATCAGCATGTTTCATTTCACCTCATTCTTCTTTTTTGGGGGGGCAGGGAGGGAGACAAGGTTTCACTAGGCAGTCCAAGCTGGCCTTGAATTCACAATGTAGCTTAGGCTGGCCTTGAACTCCCAGTGATCCTCCTGCCTCAGCCTCCTGAGTGCTGGGTTTACAGGCCTGTACCACCACACCTGGCTACCTCGTTCTTAATAGTTCTCATTTAATTTGTTGTTTGGGTATTCAGGGCTACTCAACCAGTTTCCTAATGTTGAGTATGTTCATTATTTTCCATGGTTTGGTATTATAAATAATGTCATAATGCATATCATCGTTTCCATAAATGTCTTTACTTTCTATGTGATGTATCCAAAGGGTAAATATCTAAAAGAAGGAATTCCTTACTTCAAGAGTGTGATTTTGAAATTTTCATAGCTGATGTGAAACTGTTCTATCATTTATATTCCAACAAAGAGCATTTGAGAATGTCTTTTTCCTGAATCCTTACCCTGTCTTCACAGACTGGCTTTCTAAATGGAAAATTGAATTTTGAAATTTAGATTCATTTTCTCTCTCTCTCTCTCTCTGTGTGTGTGTGTGTGTGTGTGTGTATATATATATATATGAGGTAGAACATTTTGTGATACTTTTTTGGGCTATTTTTCTGTAAAATCTTGGTTTTATTTATTTTTAAAAATGTTTAAAATTTTTATTTCTCTGGAAATAACTGTGTAATAACAAAATTATAATGAGCTGTGATAAAAAATACAGTGAAAGTTTGAATTAAAAAACATTACAGAAGGGCTAGGATTTAGCTTAGTTGGTTCCACCACCTGCCTCGCAAGCACAAGGTCCTGAGTTCAATCCCTGGTACCAAAAAAAATAAAAACCGTAAAAGACACATTGCCATTCATACCCCTCAAAATATTATTCCTTTGAGCATATATATTGCATAATTCTTGCCATTCTAAAGCATTCTGGAAGTCTTTTTTTGTGAGTGTCTTTTGATGAGCTGTTGTGGCTGCCTCAGTGTCCTGAATCAATTCAAAACATTTACCTTTCATGGTCATTTTGTCTTTGGGGAAGAGCCAGCAGTTGGAGGATGGCAGAGTTGGTCCATAAGGTGATTGGAACACACTGTAATGTTTTTACTTGACAAAAATTGTTGTAGACATTTGATTAATGAATTCTGTTCACAAAATATGGTGAGTGTTTAAATAATTTATTACAGTAAAAGACACATTGTCATTAATGCCTCCCACCATACTCTCAAAACTCCCTTTCATGTTGAACATATCTATCCCTTTGTTCTTGGCATAGTTCTTACTACTTTACTGTAATAAGTTTTTTTCAAAATTTAAACATTCTTCATGTCTTTCTGTCACCCCTTATGTATTCCAGTATTATTGGATATGCCATTCTTTCTCTGTGGGTTCGAAATGCCCTTTTATCATGTATTTCTGTACCTTCTCATGTCTAATTTAGAAACTCAATTTTGTTCTATAGACTGGTCTTCAAATTTTTTCAGCTTTTTGAGTTTTATAAAAATTGTACATATTCAGTAAAATTCCTATGAATTAGATAGCTCTTTTAATAATGTAAAATTTATATTGTTTTAGAAAAGCTGTAATTTACGTTTCTTAAAATGGTACTTGTTATATATAATTAGAACAGTGTAAGGGAGAAGGAAAAAAGAAACCTCACTCCCAAAATATAATCATCACTGCTATTAAGGGAATATCATTGTTGTTATTTTATATGCTTATCAGGAGGTAGATAGATGGAAAAAAAGCTTGGTAGTTAGAAATAATATAATGAACCATATGTGAAGTAACTATTTAACTTTAATTACTTTTACTTGTTTTAAACAATGAAACTGGAGTGAAATGAAAAATTGAAAAAGTTGTTGAAATTCATGTATCTTTCTTTAATGTTATTTTCCAAATGTCTCAGATTAGTAAACAGATTACAAAGGATAATAATAACCTTAAATTTCAGCCAGTAATGAGTAATTGTCTGCAATATAACTGCATCTCCCTTTTACTCATCTTTCTTTATGTATATGTATATCTAACTTTGCCAGTTGGGATTCTGTTTTTGTGATCACCTTCACCCCTTTCTGCAGCTGGTTACCCATCAATGCATTGTTCTATATGTAAAGATTCAGTATGTAGCCATACTCCTACAATGTCTGTTCCTGTGTATGTTTTTAAATGTTTTAATTGTGAATTTTTAAATGAGAACCAGTTTCTCTCTTTTCACCAATGGTGCATTGGTAATATTGACTTAAAACCTTAAATTTTTGACAATATTTTAAAAACCCCTTAGATTTATGTAGGAATTTGTCTCACAAAATTATTAGATCACTACTTGTCCTTTTTACAAATTATGGGCTGTGGCTTTATCTTTTGACTTTTAATGTGATACACCTAATTCTCTGTGAAAATATTTATCTTTTACATTTCACTAGCTTAAATTTTCATACATTTTATTTGTGTATATTTGTTTCCCAAAAGAGCACACACTTTTTAGTATGTGAGTTTAATTCTTTACTTCAGGAGAATTCTGCAGTTTAACTTCAGTATCAATTTTATTTTTCAAGATCACCAACAGTCCCCATTTGGATAAGTTTATTTTCTTTTTCTTCTCTATTTAAATGCTGTATTTTAATTTCTAGTTATTTTTCATTTGATAGACTATTTTTGCTGATTTATTCATTATTTTCTAGTGATATTTTTTGATATTACATTTATTTGTTTCTTAGGTCTGGATTTTCATTTTACCTCTCATTTGTTGTTTTGTCATAATCTCCTACCTGTTACTTTATTCAATTTATTTTTAATTAAGTTGTTGCATGGTATAAAATATTTGTAGGAATGTTCTTTTTCCAGTAAGTTGGTTTGTGTTTTATTAGTCAGCTTCTGAAATTTTGTGTTTTCCTTGTATAGCCCCTAATTCTGAGAATTTCACTGCTACCCCTCAGGGAATCAGAGTTGCCCTGAGAAGCTTATTGGCACTACCCAATTCATTATGTAGTTTGGGCTCCTTTATTTTTGACTGGGAGTACCTGTCACATATTACTTTTCTAGATTTTCCAGTTTCTTCCTACTTTGCTTCTCCCCAGATATAAAAGGCATTTAAGGAAAATAGGTAGTATGTTTTGGTGTACCAGGGCTGAATCTTGGGGGAATGAGAGAGGCTCAGGAGCAGCCATATGCTGTTCTTGCTCCTGCTCAGGAATCTCCAGTTCTTTTCATGGCCATTGGCTTTTGTGATTTAACATGATGTATGTTCTTGCCATGCTTAGATGCTTTATGGGAAGGTTTGGCAAACAGCAGCCCACAGATCAAATCTGATCTAGTTCTTTGGGTGTGAATGATATGTTACTGGAATTCAGCCTTCTCCCTCATTACATGTAGTCTGTGGCTCCTTCCATGCTTCAGAGACATAGTTGAGTCCCTTTGACAGAGAGCATATGGCTGGCAAAGCTTAAAATGTTCACTGTCTGCCTTTTTATAGGAAGTTTATGAAACCCTGTTGTAGGGTAATTTTATTGTTCTTCTAAGGATTTTGACTGCTTTATTTATTTTTTTTTAGGAGTCAAAGGAGAGAGATGTAGGGATTTTTTTTTTCAGTATATTATCTTGAAATAGAAATTGCACTTATAATTTTAATACAAATATATGTAAACATAATATCTTATTTCTTATACCAAAATATTTGAGATTACAAAAGGTGGTAGGTAGATTAGTTTGGTTTATCTGACCTAACAGTTTTTCTATCCTAACAGGCAACTACTACCAGTAAATGAAATTATTTACATTATTCTTTAATGATGTCTTATTTTCTTAGACTATATACCTAGTTCATTGCAGTATCTTTTTGAAAGAATAATTTTATAATTTTATTTCTTTGCACTTTTTCAAAGGTATAAGAAGTTTAGCCACATTTTGAACAACTTTGGAGAGAATGAAGGTGGTATTGATAAGTTTTCCAGAGGCTATGAATCATTTGGCGTTCACAGATGTGCTGATGGTGGCTTGTATTGCAAAGAATGGGCCCCAGGAGCAGAAGGAGTTTTTCTTACTGGAGAGTTTAGTAAGTACTTTGAAAGTATTCATGTTAAATGGTAATGTGGCCAGGAAGAAAGAACAGTTTTGAAAATGAAATAACTGGGAAAAGTAGCATTAATAAAATGTCCTTGATACAAAGGAAAAGAAGTATCAGAGTGATCATAACCACAGAGAAGTATAATATTTAAAATTTAATTTTACCAAACTCAAAAGTTTACATGGTCTATCTCTTCATTTTTTATGACATTCTAGAATTGGCAAAACTACAGGGGTAGAAAACAAATTATTGTTGATAGGGCTTGATGATGGTAGCTAAAGGTTGATTATAAAGAGGCACATAGGGGCTTGTGAAAATATTGTAAATCCTAATTGTGGCGATGGTAACATGACTGTATATTTATTGAAATGTATAGAACTGTACATATAAAAAGAATGAATTTTACTGCATGTAAATACTTCAAGGAACCCAACTTAATAAAAGTTTTTATTTTATTTATATTGTCTAAGATAGCATTATCCAATAGGAATAAAATGTAAGATAAAATAATTCCAATTTTTTGTAGTCATATTAAAAAAGTAAAAGAACATGTGAATGTTTTAATGATAAATTTTAATTAATGTAACATATATACTAGGAAATTAACATATAATCACTATAAAAGTTATTAAGATATTTTCATTCTTATTTTATATTATGTCTTTTTTTTTTTTTTTTTTTTTTTTGGTACCGGGGATTGAACTCGGGTCCTTGCGCTTGTGAAGCAGGTGGCAGAACCACTGAGCTAAATCCCCAGCCCTTTATATTATATCTTTGAAATCTGGTTATAACAAGTACCATCTCAGATGTTTAATTTTCATGGGTAATACTTCATATAATATTTAGATTTAATAAAATTTTCAGTTTAAAAGTAGGTTCATATATCAAGGTTTTTCCAAACTTAATTAAAATTTTTCCAGTAACTGATTCTAGAAAGTTTTAAAATTTAAATTTAATGAAGTAATTAAAATAAAGTAAAATATAAAATTCCGTTGCTCAGTTGCATTGACCTCATTTTAGGTTCTCAATAGCCACATATGGCTACTGAGTCCTTTATTGGAAAATGAAGATCTAAGGATTTAAAATAATTCTGTATGCAGTCACAAAGAGTAGATGATGTCAGATGCTTGTATTTCCAGAATGTTATTTGAAAACTTACCAGACAATGTGTAAAAGATGATGAAATGTGATATTTTAGATTACTTTGGCATGATGATTATTATGGCCTATATTTTGAGGATAGATTTTTCACATAAATTACTGTTTTTAATAATTTTTCCTATACACAGACATTCATTTCCCCTCTTCTGTGACTACCTTGACTACTAGTTTTGTTACTAGACTGTTGAGACCTTAGCCTATAATGTAGGCTTTCTTTGATAGTCTGTTTTATTTCTTTTTTTTTCCATTTATAAATTTCAGAGTATTCGTTGAAAGTGTTCAAGTTAATTTTTTATTTAAATATGTATATTGAAACTAAAATAAGAATCTCAATTAGCATTTGATGCTTGCATTTTTTCCCCTTCCATGTTTATGGTCAAACCCATAGAATACTTTTAATTAATATAAAAATATAGGAAAGAATTTATATGAAAACTAGATTTGTGAACTATGATGATTACTAATGCTGATTTATTAAAAATGCCATATGTCTGGAGAATTACACTTAAAAATGTTAAGCTCTACATAAAGGTTAATTCTTAAATATTAAAAAATGCAGTTATTTAAAAATCTTTGTTAAAAGAAAGTAATAATTATATGGTCCCTATCTAAACGCCAAAAGGCTCTTTGTTAAGGTTTACTTTTTACTCCAATTTGATTTTTAAAATCCTACCTTTGTGAAGTTGTATTGCATAATTTTGTTATGCATATCTTGAAGATAGCATTTAGTCAATAATTTTCAATCAACAAATATTTATTTAATGCCTAAGGTCATGAAGAACATCAGGTTTAATCAGTGGGCCTTTCTGTTTTACTGAAGAGATAGGAAAGTTTAAGGTAAATGAAATTGTGCGAGAAAATAGTTAAGAACAGGCAGTATCTTGGAGAAATTTAAATGTCAAATCAATTTTAAAAAATATCTGGATGAAAGGATATCTACTTTTCTGCCCATGGTTACAGAATCTCAAGGCCTCTTTATATAAGAGATGTGAACTTTTTTTCTCTAAAAAGCTTGGAGTTTTAAAAAAGTTGAAAATTGAGAGTGGAACAAAAAATATTATGAACTAATCATGTGTTTAAAAGAAGATTTATTTGAAAAAATGTATACATGGATATTAAACAAGTATGACTCTAACAAACACAGAATTTTGATAATTATGACAGTGTAGCTGAAAATATATCATTACATAGCTTAACTAAGGCTTTCTTTTTGTTTTTTTCTAAACATAAAGTATTCTATATGTTTTGACTTTCTTAACTTAAAATTTTTTCTTCCCTCTGGAGATAATTGAATGGGAAAAAGTTTTTTTTTTTTTAGTTTTTTCTCTGGATTAATATGGATTAGAAAATTTTATTGTAAATCTTGTAATATCTAAGTATGTACTAATCTGGAAAGAATAGAAATCCATGTTAATCAGTTCACAAATTATAATAGATTGTTAATTTGAAAATTTAAATAAAGATGACAGTGTTCTATGTGGTCTTACTAATGGTATTAAAATATTTTCAAAAACATTCAACTACTCATATAATCTTATATGTATGAATTGGTGAATTGAAATAGCAATAAATTTAAATAATTCCAAGGAAATAGTATAGACCTTTTAAAAAAATTTTGTTTCTTTGTCATTTTATGTAACAGACATTCATTCAGCTTCTAATATGCATTGAAATATCACTTAAAGAAACAATTGCTTCTTTACCTATTGGTAGAGATTTTAAAATATATTTTTACTTAGGTTTTATCATGAAAATTTAAAATACTGTTTTTTTACTGACTTCTCCCTCCAGTCTTCAAAGTTAATATAAAACGGACCTTCAAAAACCAACAACAAATAATATTATCTCTGCTAATGGATAAACTATTATTTATATTACTTGAAAAAGAAAATATTAATAGTTCATCTTTACCCAGTTGATTCACCATTTGTGATAATTTTTCAGATGAAATTAAAATTAAAGAATGGATAGATTTTAATTTTGTATTGTGGAAAATTATACCTGTAATCAAAATACTTTAGCATCTTGTCACTATGTCTGTCATTCTTTAATCTTTTTAGAAATGGCCTGTAATATCCATTTGCTTTGCTCATGGCTTACTCCTAATTGCTTGTTACAGTTTGTTATTTTAGTTCTTTTTTGTCAGCTGACCTGAGAATATTTTAGTTACAAGTGCTTAGAATAGTCAAATGTAAATGATCTTTGAGAAAGAAACTGGCACAATTGTGTTTAAAATAAAATAAGAATTTAGAGTTTGGAAACATAGTTGAACTTTCTAAACACTTTTATTTCCCCGCCTTAGTGGGAATAATGGTGATATTTGTCTTAACTATCTCACTTGCAAAAATTTTCACCTTATTCGGTGCTACATTAGTGTTAATCAACAAGATTGAAAAAATAGTCTCATTTGTGATAGTCTTTTTCTTATTAAAATACTGCTTTTTGTTTCAAGAGATCGTTAAATCTTGCTAAAATTATAGAGTTTATTTTCTCCAAACTGCTCTGGCTTTTGCCATTTACATTTTTAAAACTTTTTGGAAAACAACTTCACATTGGATATAGCTCATATATTTTTCTTTATTTGGATAAAATGAAATGATCATTCCTTTTTCTTTCACTCATGTTTAAAGAGCCAGCTTTTTAAGCAAGTAGCAGCTGCTGCAGCAACCCAAAAAGATAGTGTGCATATATGACATTCATCAGAATTGGAATCTTACCACCCAAAAGGTATTTCTGGGCAAACTAGAAAGTAGTTTAAAGGTTTGAGAAGAATTTCTAAAACTTTGAATCATCTGCAATATAGGAAAGACTCATTCATTCTTTGGAAAATTAAATGTGATTTAAAATATATTTGGATTTTGGTACTAAATCATGTTTATTGCAGGTTGCTAAATAATTGAAGAAAACTAGCTACTTTCCAATATCAAGATGATAATAGAGAAAGGCAGTAAACTACGTATGTCAATATAAAATAATTGGGTTCCTATTCACTATAGCTGAAAACATTTCATTTAAAATTACTAAGTCTAGCAGGCAGACACTTTTCAAATAACTAAATGTCTGTCATTGATAGACTGAACTAAAACACTAAAGCGCACACACACACACACACACACACACGCACGCACACACACTGATATTTTTGGAGTTGGGAATTTTACCTTCTTTTTCTGGACCAAATTTGTCTGTAATGCTTTACCAGGTATGCAATGACAAAGAAGTTTACAGGTTCATGATAGCCTTTATATTTCTCAATTCCACATGATGTGAAGCAGTGCTACTTAAAATGTATTCAGTAGATGGGTTTGTTTTTTTAAACTAGAATCAGTTTGCAGAGGTATTGTCAGAAATTGGAAGTTAGCATTTAGATTCATTTCATTTCTGTTGAATCTAATAACGATAACTGTATCTTGAGTCTTGCATTTGCAGTCTTTTTCTTTGGATTTTTGAATAATTTTACTAATTATCCATAAGTATTGGTCTAGAATAGATTTGAAGTTTTAAAGTAATTGGTTCATCATCATAGTTTAGGAAACATTGGTCTGAAGACTAGTATCAAATTTATTGGTTTAGAAGTCCTTTCAGATTGGAAAGCACTTAAATCTATGGTAGGTCTATTTGTCAGTATTCACTATGGTGTGGCATGTTACAAACAGCTTCAAAATTTCAATGGCTTATAACAATGAAGGCTTCTTTCCTGCTCATGTTGGCTGCAGTTGTAAGCTGTGGATCTGCCCCATGTGTCAGATTCTTTTACAGAATCTAGGATTATGGAGAACTTCTTTAAGGGACATGCTGACCTGTGAGGGTGAGAAAGAGCAATGGAG